AGGGGCCCTCTACTTTCATAGAGGGCTCTTTTCCTTTGATGTCATTCGCGGAGGCTCCTCACTCCTACCGAGGCCCTTTCTCTTAACCTGTCCGGGCACTCTTGATTGCACGGGTGTACTAATGCGTGACCTTGGGTAATTCCCTTTGCTCAGAAGTTCCTGTGCTCTGGCCGGGGTCTCCTATGTTAACTTGCCGGAGTACTACCGATCGCTTAGGTGCCCACCACGTTGGTCTTGAGTTCTTTCGCTTGTTCTGAGGGTCCGATATTTGATAACGGGAGCCTCTTTGTTAGCCTCCTGCGGTACTTATGATTCGCTCTGGCTCCGTCCCTATTGACTTTGGTGCTTTATCCTTAGAGCAACATTCAGATATTTCACTTGTGCATCCCGTTCTTAACATATTTTGAATGCTAGGGTATGTTGTAGTACTTAATAACGAATAAAAATTATGCATTACTCATCAGCCATCGGCTGATTACATTGCCCAGCCGGCCAGCCATAAATCAGCTAAGAATCAAGTGCCTGCTTGGTTTTGATAGTATTTCGCAACCAGCTTAGAGTTTATTTTGTCTGTTTTTAGAAACACGTAGCCTCAAAACCACAAGTTTTCACATGATCTGGAGAAAATGAATGAACTCTATGTACGGGCATACGTAGCACTCCGCCTAGCTTCATAGTGCTGTGTACGGTAATATGGGTTCACGTATTTAATATATATATATATATATATATATATATATATATATATATATATATATGTATATCAATATAACTGTTTATCTTACAATTCAATGACTGAAATGATACGATATTTTTGGAGCGGCCCTAAGCTCCAGGCGGCCCCACGATGCTGCATGGCCCACCTTGACGACAGTTTGGATCTGCCCCTGAGCTTTAGCCAGCACCGTTTTTAGCAGGTGACATGATTATACCACAAACTAAACTATATCAGTACTGACGTCACACATCAGCGGTGACAGTGAGCTTTCCGATGTCCCTCAGATCAATGTTTTTCACATATTTTTCAGCCAAGATTCACTTCACATACAAAACAGTATAAAATACTAAATAACTATGCTTATCATTAGTTGTAAGAATACCACAGAATCTTGCGACAAACGTGATCAGTCTGCTACTACGCGGCGTTTTAAAGCTCGTGCCATTTAGGACAGATGAGCTCGAATGCTTGCCACCGGGCATAAATTGGGTTAAGTGCAAGACTGTGGACTGGCATTGATTGTGTTCGTGTGATATGAAGCTCGCCGGCTTGAAGAACGTAGATCACTTGTCATTTTTTAAGGCACTCTGCGGCTCTTCTAACGGTCTACCATGGATGACGTCCCTGGTAAAAGTGTTGACAAGCCCTGCCGATATAGGAGGCTTCTTGTTTGTGGATACCCGAACTATAGCTTTAGAAGTGAACGGAGGACGTTGGAGCGACACTTCCCAATAATTCATCCGGGGCATCCTGCTGCTGAGAGGAACAGCGGCTTTGGGATAGCAGCCAAGCATTGCTGGTGTAGGCCTCTCACACTGCCCCTCGCACCTCAGACTCAGCGTACCGGCCGATTAACAGGCGCGATATAAAACCCTATTTATTGGACTTCTATTGTATGTAAAGATGAATGAAGGTGGTAGAGCTGTTGCAGAATGTATTTTGGTCTGTTGATACCAATACCGCATGCATTGCACAATCATTTTCATTCACTGGAGCCACGTTAGGAAGTGCAAGGCCTGCACCGGTAACAGCGGTGATTATGCGAAGATGTGAAGGTCGCCAACGTTTCCAGCTAATTGTGTGATGACGTCGCAAAATAAAAATGGACACTGTTTTGAGGTGGCCATGTAAAACGATGTTATCGGTAGGTGAAGAGCTACAGGAATGCAGGCTTACAAAATGCATAGGGGTGAGGGAGACGGGGGGGGGGGGGGGGGGCGGAGGCAGGAAGAATACAATGGCTGGGTTTGCCTCTGACTACGCAATAACAGTTTGCTTCCCAGATTTCACTCATCTACTTTTCAAAGTTGGGAGCAGGGGCGTAGTTTCCCAAAATTTGGTAGGTGGACGAGCCTTGATACAATGGGTAATGCAAAATGACGTATATAAAATAATGAATCAAGATAGGAAACTATATAACTTGCTGGAAGACCCAATCTTTCCAACTGAATAGAAAACTACACCACTTCACGGCTAACTATGTTAAGTATGCCTTTGTCTAGTAATTACGATAGATTAGTCTCAACTATAATTCAGTGTTGGATGGATTGCGTACGTTCGTCCAGTTCATCAGCTGCTCTGGAGCAAAACCCTAACGGACAGTGATAATTTTGAGAAAAGCCTATACCATGAACACCCGACGGTGATAATTTTGAAAGAAGCCCAAGCCATGGACATGTGATGGCGTTTGCTTGACGCGAGGCTGTCCGTGCATTTGCACACACATAGGACATTCGGCCCCTTCCGTGCCGGACACCCGGCCGCTCCTGCACGGGACATTTGGCAGTCCCGATGTCCGAAAAAGCGACGCTCCAGTGGGCGGCCCACCGCCGCTGCGATGAGGCACTGGAGCTCTGCACGCTCTGTTAACATGGAGAACATTTGAATGACACAGTGCGGTTTCATGCAAGAAGCATTTCACGTCTGGCCCTTTTTTACCAGTTCGTGGTACGCTGTCATTAGGCCCTATATCCTGGAGCATGTGATGTGCTGTACCTGGATACGCCCATAACAGGATAGCGGACAAATACTAGCAGCAGTTACGATATGTTTGCTGCCCAACTGCTACTTTAAAAGGTCGTGATCTTGTTGATCGAACAGCGCTGAGATCAGAATTGTTGTGAAACGCCTCAAGGTCGTCGTATGACAAAATGATCTTAGCGCCCAAATTCCAAATCAGCCAATTTCGCTAAGCACGGCTCGTTACGCGAATATTAGACCGCTATCCATTTAACCCAGGTCATGCAGCAAGTTATCCAGTGCTCGATATCTGATTGGTGATTCCGTATTGGGGAGTAAATATTTTCAAAGTGCGGACTGTGATGGCTTCGAAATATGTATTTTAGAATCCATGGAAAACTACGAAAATCCATTTTAGAAGCCATAGTTGTAGACACAAGCTATAGCTGTGTCTTTACCCACAAAGAAATTCCCAAATTAAGATGAGGGATTTAGCAGCATCTGGAGCGGCATAGCATTCTCAAATAAAAACGATGTAGTTTCTAGTAAAAAAGAGTGCGCGATCAGATAGCAAAGCGGTGGAGAGTGATTTTTTTGTGGACGGACTAAACCCTGCAAATTCGACATGCTTACTGGCCTGAAGCCCGCTGCTCCGGCTTATTACGCACTAAGACCTGTGTCCTAACCACCGGAACTTTTGTCATGGCTAGCAAATGATATCTTAGTCCGAATAAAACCCCATAAACAAAGATATTTGATTTCATCCCGCTCTGCAGTTGATTTCTGTTTGTTCTGCGCCGTTTGCCGCAGTTTTACTGCCACGGCTTCTGACAGGTTCGGCGCCAGGGGACAGTCCACGCTGGTCCACTTTTCGTCGGTGACGGCAAAGACGCTTTCCCATCCCTGCTTGCTTCCCTCCAAAACGTGATGATCTCGCGTCGCTGTTAAAATGGATGGCCGAGATATATTACATATAGCTTTTTTAGCGAGAGATATATAGCTTCTTTAATCGTGTTATGAAGACCGGAGTGGTATTTGATTCCATCCCGTGCTCTGTGAGGCTGAGCCTGAATCGATTCCACTGGAGCCGAATAAGACATACATTTGCCCGCAAACCGCCTGGGTGTGTGCAGGCCCTGATGCATTGTGATTTATCTGCTCACTTGTGTCGTGCAGGCTGCAAATATTCCTCTTCAAGTCAAGCTCAAGCCTTCTGGTGACACTAATTTCCGACCACTGCCTAGCATCTCTGCAATCATTCTGCAAGCACGTCTTTTTGTCACTGAGATGAATGCTGTGGGGTTCTTCTGTTGGCAGTTTGCAAAGAACTTACCACTCCTTTCAAAGTCGCTCAAAATTTTGCCGGCCAGCGTATGGATCGGCTCCCGGAGCTACCGCCGGTCGAACTTTACGCCGGTCTGCTAGATGACTCTTTAATTACGCGGCCCGACGGGCGCCGGCCATTGGCCGCCGCCGGGGGTCACGTGACCGTCCGGAGGGGACCGGTGCCGGGTACGGCGGGAGGGCTCGACCCACGAGGCGGCGCGGCCGGGCGCCGCCCGGTCAGACCGTTTCCAGTCGTCGGCCGCGTCGCCAGCGGGTCGGCAGCGCGCCGCCGTCGACGGCGACGTCCCAGTCGAGATCGACGCGGGCGCCCGTCGGGACCGTCGCAGTCCGAGCGGCCGGGCGGGACTCAGCCGCAGACACCGCTGACGGTACTGCGCCGACACGGCTCCGGCCCAGTGAGGCGTCACGTGCCGCTTGGCTGTAGCCGGCAGCCCGCCAGTGCCGCGTCCCGCTGCCAGACGCTGCTCCCTGCACATCAGGAGTCGAGATAAGCGGTTCATTGTACTCAAGAGGAGTATTCATTTCGAAAGGCCTTTCAAACGGACCATCTCCTGAAGTTGAAGATAAGTTTTCAGCGGCGTAACCTTGACAGCTCAACTTATGACCAACATCTGACTCAATAGGCCTTCCCAACTAATGGACTCGTGCGATCTGATATTGGTGGACTGTCGAAGCGAGGACACCCGACTGAACACGCTGTGCCGCGTGCAGTAAGCCGGCTGTGTGGCCAGATGGCACCGGTCTGAAGACTGACCGCTCCGAGCAGTAAAGGAGTTGAGGACGGGCCGACCGTACCGGACCGCGGCAGCCGGCAACTGTAAGTGAACCGGCCGGCCACCCTGATTTGGGCTGAGATGGCCGGGCGCGCCCGCTCGGTGCGGACAAGAGCCAGCGGCGTCGGCCAGGTGGCGGCGCGGCACGCCACGGCGGCCCGGCTCCGACCGCTGCTGCTGCCGCTGCTGCTGCTGGCCGGCTCTACGCGCCCGGCTGCCGGCAGCGAGTTCCCGGAGAGGGAGTGCTGCGACTCGATCCCGCCGCTGCCAGCGCAGTTCACCACGCCGCCCGTGTTGGTGGGCACGGCGCTGGCCGAAGCTGGCCCGTCTACCACCCACAGACCCACAGGTAGGCTAGCCCGTCCACCACCCACAGATCCACAGGTCGGCTTGCCCGTCTACTACCCACAGACCTACAGGTAGGCTGACCCGTCCACAGCCCACAGACCCAAGGGTAGACTGGTCCGTCCACCACTCACAGACCCACAGGAAGGGTGGCCTGTCCACCCCGAGACAAACCACTAGGAGGGGACAGGTCTCACTCAGAGCAGCGTAGGAACTATTTCACGGCACCAAAAGTTCAAAAGGCCTAACTTTGCCCGATATGATGTGGGCTCCCAGCTACGGTGGCAACAACGATGACGATGAATGTCAAATTTCCCGCCACGCCACTGCAATCGTATTGCACTTTTAAGTTTGGCGCGACATACACCTGGAGCCAATCTTCCGAATGTCAATCTACGGGCTTCCTACTGCAGCCGCGTGCAATCTCTCTTTTGCTCTCTCTCTCTCTCTCCCTATCTTCTCTCCTCTCTCTCTCTCTTCTCTCTCTCTCTCTCTCTCTCTCTCTCTCTCTCTCTCTCTCCTCATTCTCCTCTCTCTCTCCTCTATCTCTCTCTCTCTCTCTCTCTTCTCTCTTCTATCTCTCTCTCTCCCTCTCTCTCTCTCTCTCTCTCTCTCTCTCTATCTCTCCTCTATCTCTCTCTCTTCTCTCTCTCTCTCTCTTCTATCTCTCTCTCTCTCTCTTCTCTCTCTCTCTCCCTCTCTCTCTCCTCTTCCCTCTCTCTCTCTCTCTCTCGTCCACGCCTTGAAACAACCAACTGCAACCTGGATGCCCACCTAGCGCCCGATTCGACGAGGGCTGTGGAGCGGGGAGGGGACGGGTACTATCGACGGTCGTTAGTCGGAACCCCGTCGACCCCGGAGCTCGTGCCTGGGCCGCAGACGCGGCAGCATAGCGGCGCCGCCAGGGGGCCTCCCATATCGACCGGCCCAGACCCGATAGTCACCGGCCGCCCAGGTGTCCATCCCAGCCCCGCGCTCTCCGGAGCTGGCAGCGCCCTGCAAGGAGGTGCGCACCCAGGCACACATCGCGTGGTGCTTTGTGTTCATGCCCTTTTTCTTCTTTGTGCACACTTCGTCACAAGGGCAAAGATTGCCCTCACCAGCGTTGCGGAACTGAACGTTGCATCCACATATCGTCCAAATAAAGTTTAGCACTAAGGTACATGACTACAACGTGTTAAAACAATCCACAACTTTCAACCGGTGGTGTACCAGCCTTATCGCACATCTAAAAGGCCTGTTTTAATCAGTATAGATTTGAAAACCTCCGAAAATGTAAATGTTGTGAAATTGCACCCTGGGCCCAGTGCGATGCTTGGCCTCAATCTGCATTGCTTTCCCATACCGGTCGGGTAATGAAGTCTTCATATGGAGCAGATCCAGTCAAGCTGTGTGAACGATTGGCGCTCGTTAGCTAATATACGAGAGGGCCACGGATTTCGCTTGGAACAATGAACAAACCTCTGCCAGGAAGGAGCTTGATCATATCTACTGTTTCGATAAAGGCATCCGGATCGAAATGTTAACCCATCTTTATCTCCATTCTCCTGTATTTTCTCAGAGGAATAAAGCCATTACTACTGTCTTATCTATGTGAATAACGTTCCTCGCAAATGCACTGAACAACTTATATGCTATATCTTACTCACATATGCTTATATCGTGATCCATATAAAGGTGCAGGCAAGAGCTTCTGAAGAAAATGTTTTAAGTTCAAGCATCAATTTGTGCAAGAGTAGGTCGGATTTTTCTTACCACTGCTTTTCCACCCACCCGGTAGGTCAAGTCCGTGTCAAGAGTACAGAGCATGACCACATCTAAACTGTTTCAGCCCCATCTGATCATGCGTGCATCAGATGAATCGTGTGATTGTGCTACTTATGCGCTACATTGGGCTGCCTGTTTAAATGACGTCACCGACCCCTCGGCTCAGTAAACAAGACGAGGTATTCATATCGCTGAGAGGAAAGGTAATTATACTAAGCAGATCTGAGCCGGGGCCGGGCCGGCCTGGCGCGCGGGCCTGGCCGTCCGGGCTCCCCGTAAAAATAGGGCCGACCGCGGCCGCGCTCGAGGCGAACCCCCAGCTCAAGAGTGCAGCCGAGATATTACACTGATCTGGCGGGGCGGCATTGATTTACAACGACGGCGGCGGCGGTGGCGGCAGACGTCGCCGACGGCGCTGATGCCCGTTTGATTACTGTGGCTGACCGGGGTCAGGTCCGGCACCCAGACGAGCGCGTTAAGCGACGACAGCAACTCAGCTACGCTGTTTGGGCGGGACAAATTTAAAGCCCGGGGAGTCTGGAAGTCGAAGCCCTTTTTCAGGCACTTCAGCTACCCAGTGTCATAGCATCACTCAAATCCATCGGATTGCTAGCCAGCCAGCAAGGTAGCAATTCCACAAGAACGGCTTGCAGTCGGTTAAGTTGCTTACGCCACAATACGGTTTCAGGCATCAAGTTTTTCATAACATTAACTACGTTCATTTGGTAGCCTTGCTGGATGGTAAAAAACCATTGCTTTGGAAGAAGTCTGCTAACAGATAGCGTCAAAAAATAATGAAAGGTGGTGGAGTAAGGTCCTCCGTGCCATCACTGTTAGTTTATGGTCCTCTGGCTACCCGTGCCCGGGCGCCGTGCTGTCCGGCGCCTGTCCGTTGCCTCCGTCCATCGAACGTCCGTAGTCTGTTGCGCTGGCCGCGGCTGGGCTGGGCTTCCAGACCGCGGCTCTGGAGGCCAGACGGGCTCCTCAGAGGGAGCGTACGAGGCTGGGGTAGCTGCAGAGGTGGAGCCAGTCCCGGCCGCCTCAGATGGGATGTCAGAGGGGGCTTACGAGGCCGGGGCAGGTGCAGAGGTGGAGCCGTCCTGGACCCCTCAGACAGGGTGTCTGAGGGAGCTTACGAGACTGGAGCAGTTGCAGAGGTGGAGCCGTCCCGGACGCCTCAGACAGGGTGTCTGAGGGAGCTTACGAGACTGGAGCAGTTGCAGAGGTGGAGCCGTCCCGGACGCCTCAGACAGGGTGTCTGAGGGATCTTACGAGTCCGGGGCAGCTGCAGAGGTGGAGCCGTCCCGGATGCCTCAGACAGGGTGTCAGAGGGAGCTTACGAGGCCGGGGCAGCTGCAGAGGTGGAACCGTCCCCGCCGCCTCAGACCGGGTGTCAGAGGGAGCTTACGAGTCCGGGGCAGCTGCAGAGGTGAAGCCGTCCCGGACGCCTCAGAGGGAGCTTACGGGAAAGGAGCAGCTGCAGAGGTGGAGCCAGCCCGGCCGCCTGAGACAGGGGTGTCAGAGGGAGCTTACGAGACCGGAGCAGCTGCAGAGGTGGAGCCGTCCCGGACGCTCACCTGCGCCGCCCGTCAGCCGTAACGTCGGCGACCACCTCGGCGGCTCGGCCGGCAGCCGGGGTCGGGGCAATCAGGCCGAATCGATCGTGTCCAGGAGCTCGGAGAAACGACCGGAGCAGGTCGAGCGCTGTGCTGATTGAAATTCGCGGTAGCCTCGAGCGCTGCTAACATGGCAGCCACGCTCACAATAACAGGAATACAGCTGCGAAGCCCTGCTTAGTGTGGGTAGGCTTGGGCGTTGTGGCTTGAGGGCACTGATCAAAAACAGAGGTGGGAGAAGTGCATGTCCGGTTCCTTCGGTCAATGAGGGACTTTTTATGCAACCTTGAGCCATCGATTAGCTACCGTTCGAAATTGATCATGTCGGCTGGCTTTCTGTGCACGGCACCCGTCCCAGTTCGAAACTACAGATGATCCCTGCTTATCGCATCGTAACCTAACACATTTGCGTATTCATTATTTCGCTCTAGCTTGCTCCGATGCTTCGCATCTTTTTTATTTTAACACGCTCTTGTGGTCTCGCCAATACCTCAGTGGTAAAAACTCCGTGTTTTAGAGCTTTAATGCAATAGAAGCCTATTACGCGCGTCTTGTAGATTAACAGGCAATGACTGTAATAGAGGTTTCCTCATTGGGTGCCAAATGAAATCAACGGAAGGACAAGAAAAGGATCTAACGGGATGTTGGCTCCATGACAGAAATATTAACGCTTTTGAAACTTTTTAAAAAGGACGGTGCATTTATGTCAGCGATATATATATATATATATATGTATATATATATGTATATATATATATGTATATATATATATATACATACATTTGTTGAGTAACATGTTCATGGTTGCTAGTATGTCTTTTTAAAATATTAACTCACCAGAGGCGTGAAAGAATTTTGATAAAAATCCATCCCCCAAAAGCCTGATGGATTTGACACTTTTGGCGCCACACATGGACAGGCACTGAAATTGGATATTCTTCTTGCCGTGCAATGGCGCTCAAGTTGATCTGGAGGGTCATGCAAGCTTTGGCACCTACCTGTGGTGCCATGTTTGGTAAGTGAATTTGACATGCCCTGACAAAGAACATACTGCTCATCTCGCGATGTGTATATTCTGACGCATTAAATACCAGGTAGCCTGCCGATTCTTTGCATTGTTTCTCAGATGTTTGAGACATAGGTCAATCAGCTATGACAGCACGTTAAGTATTCCATGATGCCAACAGGCGCGTAACCAAAAGTCTTTTCCGGGGAAAGCGAGGTGTCCTGACGTTCCGTCTTATGAAAGTGGACTCCCCGCAATCCCACGAGGGCTCCCCACGATCTACCAATATAACCAATACTAAACGAACTCGTATGAGCTTGATAGGTGCTGTCAAGTGAACTTTGTGTTCTCTAAACACAAAAAGGCGTAGACGGCACTGATATCTCAGGCGACTGTCAATAAAGCTTCAAACTTTGCGAGGGGTCCTACTTTTTAGGCCTAATTTTTTGGAAGCAGGGGAACTAAATTTAAAATCGCAGACATTTTTTAAAACTGGCCGATGGAGATACATTGTTTTGAACATGCAGAGACAGCCGCGGCGGCAATTTCACAGCATGTGCGTGAGGGGGATCGGGGCGGTGCAAGTAAAAAACAACTTCCCAGCCCCGCCTCCAA